CCCTCAAGGGCCTGGCAGGACCAAGCTCTTCGACAAGAGCCAGGCGGCTGTTCCACGCCTGCAGAACCAATGCTCGGGCACGAGGAGCTTCGTCCATGGCCTTGGCGCGGTGCAATGGATGTGTTCGCGGTTGACTGTGCGTAAGGGCGCAGCGTCAAACTCAAAAACTAAATGTGTGTTCTGAACAGGATAGAGCCGAAAGCTGTGTTGACCAATTCCGAGAATCAAGCTCTCCCCAAGCTCTCTGCAAGTTCTCTCAAAGGCTTGATTGTGCAGTTCGCAAACCTTGCTTCCAACATGCGCTTGAGCGTTTGCTTCAGAATCACAGCGTCTAGGAGCATAGCCTGTGAAACCGCAGTGATTCTAAGTGCGCAAAACGAAAGAAGGAAACGCACCAAAGGCACATGGGTCCTCCAGCCAAAAGAAGAGGTGTGTGCCTCATCCTCCATGCACTCGGAGGTTGCACACACACAGCCGCCCTGTAGGGCTCTGTACAGTGGACTGTACAGCAGGCTGTGCCACGAATATACATTTAGACTGTACAGATAACGACCTACACTGAGAAACTGTACACGTTTTTCTGTACAGAGCTAGAAGCCTAAACCTGTACACACCTAGTGTGTAAAACTAAGCTGTGCAGCATTGTACAGCGGCTAAGTTGGCTATGTACCGATATGTACACGTATGTACAGTGGACTAGCTATGTGCAATTTTGTACAAAAGTTGTACAAGTATGTACAAGTATTTACGGGGTTGTAACTATGTACAACTATGTACAAACATGTACAGGTATGTACAGCAATGTGCAGAAGAGTAATGTGTACAATTTGTACAGCTATGGACGAATATGTACGGAAATGTACAGAACTGTACAACTATGTACAACTTAGCACAACTGTTACCCCGGCTTGAAAACCAACAGCGTCAAGGAAACAACGCACAGCCCTTGGCGGGGATCTCAAAAGCCCGTTTTCGAGACAGAGGCCTCAAACCAAAGCAATCAAAGGCTTGCGAGCCCGCAGGCACTGCATATCAGCACGCGCTGCTTCTCTGCATGCACTGCATATCAGCATGCACAACATGTCGGCATGTCTGCATGCAGGAGGGTGCAAGGACGGGAGTGGCACTGGCACCTTAGAGACCTTGCGTGCAGCCTTGCTCGTGCGAAAAACCTGAATCTGAATCTGAACAACCAAAGGGGGCAGTCTGAACAGGAATTCAGGTGAAACGTCGGGGGACTGAGGAGGATCCCTCCGAGCAACGGGGGGCCTAAAAGGAATCCGACCTTCACCGATTGTACTTGAACACTGAACTCGCTTCATTAAGGAGGCCGGGATGCTCTCCCGTCACACTTGGCGCCTTGACGGACGAGCTCAGCGAATCACACACTTTTCAGAAGCGTTCCGATGCAGCTGAACGTTGGAGGGGCCCTGACAACACGAAGAAAAGTTCAAGCCGAGGAAACCCTATGCTTCCTCGACTATTTTTCAAATAGGGGTTGTTCAACCCCTATTTTTTGCATTGACAACCCCTATTTTTTGACATTGGCCTTTGGGGTCCATTTTGGGTTGTTACTTTGTTTGTATTGAAATTACGCCTGCTATTGCAACCTCTCAAGAAGCCTTGGGAGCCAGTAGATTACTATTTATTGATAGGGTCCTCGGCGCCCTTTCGTGTTTGCACAATGCACCTGCTGAAAGTCTTGCGTAGACGGGGCCTTCATTCTAGCAAATTCTAGAATTTTCCTCTGCAATTTGCGCAGGTGGAACGAACAACAAGCAATTGTGTGCTTGTTTTTTTCCGCTCCAATCTTCACACAGCTCCAAAAACGATGTGAGCGTAGACAAACCGTAGACAAAGCGTAGAAACACCGTAGAAACACCATTTTTTGGCGTAGAACCACTATTTTTTGGCGTAGAACCACTATTTTTTGGCGTAGAACCACTATTTTTTGGCGTAGAACGACTATTTTTTGGCGTAGAACGGGCAAATTTTGCAGGGGACCCAGAAGATCAACATTCTCACCCTGGAATGGTTGCTGTAAAGGGTAAATATTTTTGCTGTCCCGTTTTGCTTGGTTTGGCTAAGAAGGTGGGGCAAAAGAAGGACAGAAACGGTCAGAAGAGGATTCACCCTCACGCGCTACATGGCCATGTTAAGAAACCAAGCAACAGAGAAGCCAACATTAGCCTTGAAGATTGTAACACATATTGCTGCATATGAAAATACCTGTTCGGCTTTGGGATCCTATGAGGCGGCCTTGGCGTCAAGTCTTTCCTACTCCCGTTCCAGTCCTAAACGGAGGCTGCCGCTCGTCATCAAAAAATAGTCTCTATCAAAAAACCGGGGTTGTCACAACGACTATTTTTTAAATAGGCTTTGGAAGCATAGGGGAAAGGGCTATGTGCAGCGAAAAAAGAAAAGAAAAAAGGGGGCCTTTGTTTGGGGTCTGCCTCCAGCTGCGGACTACACACAGACACACACAGACACACACAGACAC